TTTGGGATGGGCTGACTTTGGTAATTTTACAAATAGACTATCTTGATAATGAATGGGTTCATTAAAAATGCTGGTTATCAAAACCCAATAGAAAGCAGACAGGTGTTAAAAAAGAAGGTGTTAAGAAGTGGAATGCAGATACGATCTGTCATCCAGAAGTGGAAAACAGAGATTCTTCATAAACAGGCATAGAATTTAAGGAACGGCCGATCAAGGGCCATGTGTTAAATAACAAAATTTTGACAAGGTGAGAAAAAGACTTGTGTAGGCAAATTTCTGAATGCTAATTTTAATTTTAATGCTGACAAGCCGGAAAACCCTATGTAAGCAAAACATTGAGGAGATAAAGTCTTCTGAATTAATGAGGTAAATTGAATTTCATGAAGATCAAGAAGCCATTGGTCGGGTGGTAGCTATAGTGGTGGGCACAGTTAAAACAGGAAAGATGGAGAAATTTGCAGCCCCGAAAGGTGTTAGTGCCAATAGATGAAGCAGATCAATATCCTGTGACCATACCTGGCAAAGAAAGGTCTTACAAAAATTGCAAGTGTAATGAATCTTTATTGGATTTAGGGGAATCACCAAAACCCCAGGCTATGTCTTGCCCCAACACTGATATGGAGCAAAGGCCCATATAAGCAAATGCATGAGGCTGAGAAAACAAGTTTTGTCTAAGAGAACTGCAGAGAATTCCAAGGCACTGTTAGAGTCTGTATTGAAGAAGACCAGCTGGCTGAGACTGCCGCGTTGACTCCTGTCAAGAACAAGAACTCCAAATTTGAAGAAAAACTACACTAAGACCAAGAAGTAATCTTCACCCTTGTACCAACAAAGTTAATACGAAAAGCACATAGAAGTTAACACCAAAAAACAGAACTCAGATAATGCCAAAAAGCAGAATTACACTAACAAACTTCATATTGAAAATAGAATTTGGTGTAATCCATCTCAAGGGTGTCACATTCATTTAAACATGGGTTGGGACAATAATTGTTGTAAACAAAAGAACCAATATAAAGGTGAACTGTTATTATTTGTGCATCATATTTGGCTTTATTTTTATTGATGTGCAGACTGACTTTGGTACCAAAGATTCTGACAACAATTGGACATGACTCTCCTATAATTAAAAATTCACAATGTGAGATAGGATAAAGGTTGGGACTGAACAGGTTACTTCGGTAACTTACTGCAGCATTTTACATGCTAGATAAGCCCGAGGGCTTGAGTACTACATGTTCAGATCTGACCAAAGATCTTAAAACCCAGAAGGTGGTATGTTATTGGTACTGTGACTGAAGGCGGCCAAAGGTACCACATTATTGGTGACCGTGGCCAAGGATCAGCCCTCATGTGTCACATATGTATACTGTTTCTGGCCTGCATAAAAATTATGTTGCTGCTCAGTATTTTATGAAACTCTTTGCCTACATATTTCCTTCTGGGTCACAGGAAATTGTTCATGGGCAACACAACGTCCTGGCCATACATCATGTATGGCCGGGAAACCTGCTACTCCCATTGATAGGGAATCTGGCTACTACCAATGCTTGATCCAATACTAAATCCCAATTCTCATTCTCTCTCAGACAATAAAGCTAACAAGGCCCATAAAAATCTGGAATCATTCCACCTTTGCATTACTCTGTGAATTATAAGGTAAGGTTGTTATGTGTGTTTATTTAAGCTTTTCAAGGCATGGGCCATCACCATGCACGTTTTCTGACTCATTATCAGTCACAAGTTCTAAGGGTGACTCAAAATCTAGGGAATCTCTCATTCACCAGCAGGGCAGCCATTGTCTGAGCAGTTTTATCTCCTAGCATGAAGGCTTTGATCCAATTCAACCAATCCACAAAACTAGCTATATATTAGTTTCCTCTGGGTGTACACGGTAACATTCATACCGATTTTCTCAAAGGGGGTATGAAGGTACTTCAGTTTCAAATAACGGTGCCACTTTGCTCTATCCACTGCTTACCTGACATGTCACAACTAGATTAAGTCACCAGCTTGTACAGAATAGTACTCTCAACCAATTTATAGATTTTTGTCTCATCTTTTCATGACATTGCTCCAATATCATGGTCTTCATACAGTCATACATACAGCTTCAATCTGGGAATCTCTACAATTACTTCTGCCTTTCCTCCAGTCACTACCTACCTTTGATTCCTTTAAAGCCTGGTTTTCCTCATTCTTATCTACCATGGACTCATCACCTCTTTTCCTCATCAAAGTTCTCCTCATCCAAGTTCTAAATCAGTCTACCTGAAAGATATTCTATATGGCAATTGTAGCAACTTCAGAAACCATTGTTCAATTTTTTTTATTCATGTAGTCAGCCTTAAACAGATATTGTAGGGGTTTTTGACCTATCACAAGCTATACGCCATCCAAATAACAGTACAACTTCTGAAGTACATACACATCCTTTTCTGGCCATGCCATATCATTGTGTGTGTGTGTGTGGGAGGAGGGGGGGATAGCATGTATGACACAAAAAAAAAAAAAAATTTTATTTTAAATACATCTGAATAAATCTATTGTATTTGAATACAAACACCAGGAACTTTGGTTTCAATCCATTACAACTAGCATGATACAGAGCCTGGACTTTAAAAAAAAAAAAACCCCAAATCCCACATTTTAATACTAAAATTAGAGTAGTCTTGAAATTAGCAGTTTCAGTTTTGCTTTATAATAGGGAAATAAATAAGTGTCCATTTATTAAATTTCTGGTAGGTATCACATGAAATCCAGGGTAGCAAAAACACCGCTAAGAAATTACTGTACAAAAAGTTCCAAAGTCAACTACTTCTGCTGTTATGTAGAGAACAACAACAAAAAGGTGGTGTATAGGTTATTTTCTTTGGGCAGGGGTTGCAACCTAAAAGTTAATGGCAATTCAAGTATTTTATCTAAGTAAAAGTGTTAAATTGTATCTAATATGTGAAACTTGCTTGCTTTTATAGTGTCATTTGAAATACTTCAGTTCAACAAGCAGAAGCAAAATATTAGATATATAATTTTAGATTTATTAAATCTTCCAAAACAAATACCAGGAATCAAGGCAGAAACAATGACTACCTTACCTAACAAAAAAATGGTAAGTTAGGTTTCAAGACAACTTATCAATTAATTGTGAAAAACCAGATGATCACTTTTGTTACATCAATTGTCTTTGTATTTCTTTTAACATTAAAACAGATGTGCACAATATTTCTCTTTTTTTTTTTTTTTTTTTTTAACATTAAGTCATTCCTTGAGGAAACTGTATATTTGAGAAATTTTATATTTATGAAACGTTTAATATAAAATATTTTACAGTATAAAAATATATACAAATACAAGTTCTTTAAGTCAACAGGCATCTAGACTGATCAGCCATTAACACTATTCAATACTGAAAAAAAATTCTAACAAAAGTAATTTAAAAGTGAAACCTTATGACAAATTAAAAGATGCAGTTAACAAAATATTTTAATGAAGTAAACTCTTCGAGCAAAGATGGCTATGCTCATCACTTATCAGGCAGAAAGCTTTATGGAATGAATATGATGTGGATACACACAAGAAGTTAAATTGTTTAGCAAAGAATTAGTAATTTTACACTAGCCTGAAAGTGGAAGTGACTTGAAAATTAACAACTAATCAATTAAGAACATTAAAAAGAACGAAAAAATTTTTCACAAATAAATACAAAGATAAGTTTATTGTATCAGAATATAATTACTCATTTTAATCAAGAGCAGTTGTATTATAATATACAGCTAGTCAGATATGGTCCCTTATAATATATATACACACACACACGCAAGTGAAAAGAGTCTTACATACCCAAGATATTACCTTGGTAAATATTAAGACACTTGGAGAGAGAGAGAGAGAGAGAGGGGGGGGTTAAAAAAAAGTTTTAAGCAGTAAAATTCATTTAATAAATTTTACTCTTTGGAAATTTATTTTTCAAAATCTTTCGAATGTCCTTTCATAAAGTTATCTTCATTTTTAAGTGAAAGTTGCTGCAGCATGTTTTCTCCTTTGCACATTGTGGGCGAGTCCAAGTTTTGTTTAACATTTTAAAATCAGGAATTTTAGATAATTAGTTGTTGCAAGTTTTTCACTTATCTTCAAAATTCATTTTATTATACCTTAAAGAAAAAGTATAATGAAAAAGTCATAATATACAGAATTTAAGGAGTATTTATAAAGTTTAAAGAATTTTTAGCACCATATTGTATTGCCGAGAGAAAAAAAAAAAAAAAAAAAAAAAAAAAAAAAAAAAAGATTGTAAGGTTTCAAAATGTAGCTGGCAATATTATTGTTCATATTATCTGCAAATGTGCTGTAAGTTTGTCAACAAAAAGCTCTTCAGCAGCTTTGGAGGTAAATTAGAATTGTCCAGAAAAAGTCTGAATAAACAACATTAAGGTGTAGTTCAAGAACTAAAACATTTGATCTTCAATAGATTCATTGAAATAGAAAATAACTGTCCAAAACTTACTTCCCACTAATTCAATACAGTTAATATATTAAATGAAAATGAGATTCTAAATTTTAAACCTGTTAGGAATGAAAAATAAGGGACATAACACATCCCTTAGTGTCAACTGAAAAGAATTTGACCATTTTTGAAAAAAAAAAAATGGTGCCATCAGTTATGTTAAAGACTGTATCAAACATTAGATTAAATTTGAAATATGCAATTTATAGAAGGTTTGAAGGGCTTAAAAAAAAAAAAAAAAAAAAAAAAAAATTATGGATACTTTTACAGATGAAAAAGTAGTTCTATCAGAGACTGTCAATAGTGTGTATTAAATTTATATATTCGGTTTGTAAGAAAGGAAAACAATTGCAGTATCACTCTCCATTTAAAACCTGAAAGCTAAGAAAATTATGGCAGAAGAATGACAATTTTAAACAGCAGCAGTCCATTTTCAAAGTGTTGATGGGTCTTTACTGGAAGAATTTGAAGCAAATAATTGGCTTTTGTTAACAGATCATTCAGTGCCAAAGTACTTCTGTCCAAAATGGTTTGGTGCAACTGGATGTACCTCTGTTGTCACTATAGAAATACCAGGGAATGATGAAATTAGAGACTTCACAGCTGAAAGAGAAATAAAAATTTATTCCTTGTAGCTGCAGCATCAAAATTTGTATTTAATCATGTCATCTTAAGGTAAGATGACATGAGAGAGAGAACAATAAAAGAACAGAAATTATGACAAAAGATAATGATTTACGTTGCATTTCAATTTTTGAAGATCAAATTTGACTGGAAAGCAAGAAGTCAGAAGAGTTGAATAAGTGAGAAGTACAAAAACTGTTAGCATAGATTATATGGTGTAGAGATAATATGAATAAAGACAAAAGGAATACTTCTTTACCAATGCTTTTGCCCTCTGATGGACTTTATAAAAGGTAAATGTAAAGATTTTATTTTGAAACAAGTATTTATACACAGAAGTTTAAAAATACTGTTATTTCTCTTTGTTAGATCAATTAGTGATAAGTATATAGCAGTATATAAAATCTGAGAACAATACAAGTTTGTCAGACCTTTTTTTTCAACTATTCTGTTACACGTGTATTAAGGGGTTACTATATCACAGCAAACTGGAAATATCCTCACTATTTTAACACTTCCATTAACTAGTGGCTAAATATGAAATACAGTTTTAACATATTTCCTATCATGGTAAATTTTGAAACAGAAAGGACATTATTGCAACAGAAAGTCTCAGCAACTCGGACAACATTTTTCATGCTAAGTATTTAGCAACTTGTCATTTTAACTGGTGACTTCACAATTAAATACGTCTCAGTCTAGTCATTCTCATCTTTGTGTTCATACAAAAGGTTGTGTATAGAAGGACATTTGTTCTGATGCCGAGTTAACTTTCCTTCTATTTTAGTTTCTGCAACTAAAAGTTACAAATTACAGCAGTTAAATACAAGTTTTCCTAATTAACTAACAATTTTTTTTTTTTTGTTTCTTTCAATTGTTTCCCACATTTTGGGAGACATGTGGCTATTTTTTGCCACAGGTACACTTACTAGTATGAAACTGGTTAAGTATTGGTTCTTTAGGTTCTGCTCTTTGGTGTGATAGTAATGAATTTCAGGTATAAATACTTACATTAAAATGTTGGATATTAATGGCATTTATGCCACTGGAGATATATTTTATGACAGACCAAGCATAGAAATGAACACAATATGGGAACCAGAGAAATACAATATGAGTGCCAGAGAAAAGCAATAATAAAAACTGCAATATGAGCTCTGGTAAAAAAATGTTGAAGACATTAGGTTTATAATACCCAGAAATTAATACACAAATGTCCTCAAGGACACATGGCACAGTGGATAAAGGCTTTAGTTAGATCCAGTGACAGGACCCAAAGAGTGTGGTTCAGGCAGTGGAGAAGGGAATTAACAGGAGATAACTGACATCCTAGAACAGTCTACCCCAGTGAGCGAAATAAAGGGTTCAGTTCGACATTCCAACCATCTGAAGAAGGCTGGAGTGTACAACAGTCGAAACATTGAAATATGAGGACAATAGTCCAAATAATGTAAATAGTGTACATAATACCTCATCTCAGAAATATAGACAGATACAGAACCATTTTTATATTTTTTGTAGTGTTGGTTTTGCACCAAACAAACAATTTCAATATGGCCATCTTCACTTTCAAGTTTAGTTTTTATTTTGGTGCACTTAAGCTGCCTCCTACTCCAGTAGTACATCTACCCTTTACTCTGTAACTTGTAACACGATACTAAACCGGACCTCTTCAGACCATCTGGGGTTGCTACTCAGTAGCAGTAAGAAAATCAAAAGCATAACCATAGGCATGAATTTGGTGATATTTAATTCAGATAATTTTTTTTTCACATATATTCACTATATCCTTGTATAGTATTTTACTGTTCTCCAGAGATATTTTTCTGTTTAAGTAAACTACATGCAAGGAGAATTCTGCCACCATCATATCAAGTGAAATTAACCCACTATATAATAGAGTGGGCAAAAAATAAGAGGGTCCAAACTGAGTTGGGCTGCGAGCTGGGAGTGATTACCATACAAAAAAGTATGTTCCATCTGGCAGTTTCAAAACTATTGCACAAGGCAACCCAGGAAGTTAAAGATCATTTCACCCGCAGCAAGAATTTAAGAGACAAACTTATTGTTAGGAACTCCATCTTTCAAAGAAAGATGATGTCCCAACTCCTCAATGAGGAAACCATAAGAGACTGCAAACTACCTGCAGCATTTAGCTGAAGAGAAAACAGATGAAAGCTTAGTGTGACTGCCACCAAACCTCCTCTCCCCCAGTGCCTTATTTTTCAGATGGTCTTAGATGTGGTAGGAGAGGATACACCCAGAGAGAATTTGGTGGAGATTGCCTCTAACAGAAGATTTAACTTATACCAGCATGATGTCATTATTTGGCACGTGGAATTTGGAGTCAGCTCATGGAGATAAAATTTTAGAAACACAAGTTGGAGCAAAAAATAGATAAACTAACCAAGAGAATGGACAAATTTATACTAAAACATGCTAAAAGTAAATGTTGCTTCTTCTGTCATTCAAGGGAAAGTAGTAAGGACTGTTATTTATACTGGAAGTTTGAGGATAAAACTTCCTACAGCACCCCACTCCCAATCATTCAAGGTAACTTTGGGAAAAGACTAATCTGGCAACCCACCATTGTGGGAGAAGTCTGATGCTTATTTGTATATGACCAAATAAGCATTCATTTTATTATAGTGTAGTGCACAACTCATTAATTTTTACTACTAAAGAGGACAGATTAAAGGAACCTTAAACCAACCCATCAAGCAGTCAACAAGTCCCTCACATTCAAACTCATGGACATAGTACTTGTAGGGTTGCAAAGTGTGATTATCTCCATTTGGTTGAGACAATGTCACAAGGGTCACTTGATGGTTGGTGAGGAATGTCAGATGCCTAGAAGATAGGTGTCTGCTCAGGCCTATTGTGATGCAGGCAGCAGAGAAGACAGATGCCACAAGCCCACAGTGGTAGGGGCTTACAGAGGAAATCGTTTGGTATCACCAGGTACATAAAAAGGACACCACTAGCCTGCCCATTTCCACTTTGGGAAATATTACAAGTAAAACCAGTTTCACACAACTTCCTGTATGTTATAATTTCTGTGTGGGACAATTTAGTGCCAAGTATGCATATGATAGTATATAAAATCTGAGAACAATTTGTGTTTGCCAATCCTTTCTTTCAGCTAGCCTGTTCTGTCCATGTATTAAGGTGTTACTATATCACAGATATAATAGTGCCTATAATTGGGAGGGAAGAAAAAAAAAAAAAAAAATAAAAAAAAAAATGAAATTCTTTTTCTAGCATCCACATTACACAAATGAGGAAATTCATAACAGAAAATTAGAGCAAAATTTTTTATCAGGATAAAAAAAAAATAAATATAAAAAGCTATAAAATGTAGTGTGAAGTAGGATTCAAAGAAAATGAACTGACAATGGAGTAAAATTGAAAATTGTGCAAGTGAACTTATTCTGGGGATAATGTATTGGCAGGATAAATCAAGAGTCAAGAAAATGATGTGCAGTAAAATTGGATGATTACTCAAATAATAATCCTCCAGACATACTTTGTTTCTTATCAAACTCATAAGAACCTAAAGTTGAAGGATATGATATGAAAGAACTGATTTCTTGGGAAACCAGAAGTTGGTCAAAACCTTGATTCTGGGGACAAATTTATTAGTGGCTGTGAGGAATTGTCAGCATATCAAAGTCATAAATCAAATTTTGAAGAAATAGTTATTTCGACATGGCAATTATGTCCCTTTTAGAATCTGTTCCAGACCGATAGTACGTTCACAAAAATCCTTGCTGCTCAGTGATGTGTCTTAGCTGATAAATACCTTTCGTTCAGAGTCAGGTTCCTTCATGTCAGATGAGTTAACACCTTTTCTTGATAAGAGTGAAGACGTAAAGCTAAGTAAAATTCTTTCACAGAAGCAAAAGAACATGTAGCCAAGAGATTTTCTGTGATATACTACTGCTATTACAAGTGAACAAAGAGATCCTGTATTACTCCAAGAATATAAAGAATATGCAATGAGATTACCATTGTCAAAAAATTTAATTGTTTATTATTTGCCTTACAATTTCTGTTAAACAATACTTTTTCAAATTTTTTCTTTCATCAGTCAAGCCGAAATCAAAATACTGGAAGTAGCTTTTAGCCGTTAAAAAAAAAAAAAAAAAAAAAAAAACACACACACACACACAACTTAAAAATTCCACTAGACAATGTGACTTTATAGCCCCCATCACCAGTTATTGAAGCCAAAGTACAAATGTACAGAGTAATGCAAAACTAATGAAGAAATATGAACCAGAATTGTTCCACAATTGTTCAGTTATAAGGAATAAGAGGAATTAGTTAGTTATATTTATTTCCAGACCACAACTATTACACATTATCAAATCTTAATAGAAGCAATTTAAAACAATTTAGCTCTTTATCAGTAACATTCATAAATCCCTGACCACAAATTAGTCATTTTAAGAAATTTTCATGTGGCATTTCTGAAAAAGTAATATTCTGAAATAAATTACAAAAAAAATCATTGAAGCTGTGATTTTTGTTCTTGAAATTAATTTTTCAGATTATCTGAAGTTTTTTTTTTAACTTTAAAAAGTGTTCAAAAAGGAACATTTTGCAGCTTTAACTTTAATTGGAAAAATGTTATGCAAAGTTTAAATTACAATTAACAGCTATTTTTGCATGAAGAATGAAATGTTAAACATTCCTAGAAATGTCATTTAAAATTTGTTGCTACTCATGCTCTTTGGTATAGTTTGTTACTACTGCAGGTCACAATTTGAGTAAACTTGTACTTGTTTAATCCCTTACTGTAATGACAAACATACAAAATCAAATTTAAATAGGAATGAAATTGTTGGATAGGGCCAGGAATAAAAAAAAACAAAAAACAAACAAACAAACCAAACAAAAAGGTATCAATTATGATAATTTTAGTTAAGGTATCCAAACTTGTCAAAACAGTAAATTTAAGAGTGGAAAGAAATTGTACAGGTCTTCTAAGAAAGTAAATCAGATCAATTAGGTCAACTTGAATCATGCCACAACAAAGTGAGAATATTGAAGTCATCTTACCACGAGGCGTACAAAAAAGATTTAAGAGAATGACATTTTTTTCTTTTACTTCATGATTCTTAAGGACATTCATAGCCTTTGTGACTGTATTTCCTGTACCTAGAAAAAAAAAAAAAAAAAAAAAAAAAAAAAAAACCATTATTTTTATTTTTTTTTTGTCTAAATTTAAATAAAATTTAGACTTAATTCCTCTTAAGAAAAATCAGAAAAACTCATTTTTTGCAATGGGCAACTTAAATTTACGTTGAAGCCTACAAAATTTAAATGCTTAAAAATTGACAAATGTTAAGATATTTAAGTATTGGAGCAAACTGATACTTGTACCGACCGCGATAGAATTTAGCAAGAGCAAGTAAAAAGGGAGGTAATAAATTTGAAAGTACATTTCAAACTGCCAAATGTACATTGTTCATAAAATGTGATGTTTTCTCTTGATGATGGGAGGAGAAAAGTAACCTTAACAAGAATAAAAATTAAGCTACTTTTATTAATTATGTAGCTTTCCTGTATGGAACCAATCATGCTTATATTGGATCAATTAATTCTGCTTTCAAGTGAGAAGACAATGACTGGAGAGAAACTTCTTTACACACAAAGAAATTTCTCTGCTAGTAATTAAATGTACTTCGACTATATTCAAAACATTTATTCACAGGTTCAGAAAACAGAAGAGGGAGAGAGGAAAAAATATCAAGTTTAGTTTACTCACTCATAATAGGGTACATAAGTAGTACTTTACGGCTACTAAATTCTGGTGGAAAATTTGAGTAAAGCACCCTTGCCTCGTGTGTGTCGGCATCACTCTGTATCAAGATCTTGCCAATGCGAATTGGACCACAACAGTTTTGAAGACCTTGTTCCATAGCCTCACCTTGGGTAAAGGAAAAAAAAGTTTCAGTTAACACTAATTTGAACAAATTTGATCATGACATATCTAATGTTATGATTACAACTTTCTACAAATTCTTTAAGTGCGTGAGTATTTGACTATTTTCTTGCAACTTTGATTAAAAGGTTGAAATTTTCCCAATTTAAATACTTTAGTAGAAATTTATTTTAGCTGGAATTTCCTATATTACTGTCATGTGCTTTATGATAAAGGTTTGGTATGCCAGGTTTACCTATGCTTCTAGAAAAAAAAAAAAAAAAAATTAGTAGTTAAAGTAAATAGTAAGAAATCAAAGGTGAATCTATGCATAAATTGTCTCATGATTCTAGAGTTGAAAATAGTTGTAGACTTTATGAAAGACTTTCAAAATATTTAATTTCAGTGTAGCTAACATGAAAATACATCTTGGAATTTATCAAAAATGTCAAGCACTTTAAAAACATAACTATGTTCCTTAAATATTAAGTACTTTAAATCAGGATCCATTTATCCAAACTAGACGTACGTATATGCGAGTGTGTGTATATTCATACCCTCCCAACTCTCCACCCCAATAGCATTTATTTAATTCGTACAGTTACTGATGACTGAACATTTAAGTAATGAAGTGTGTAATATTTTAATAAAATAAAGTTGAGTGATGACAATCAAATTAATTCTAGTCTACCCATGCAGACATGATGGAAAGCATAGATTGAAAGCAATTGAAAGTCTCTGGAACAGACAGTTTTCAGCTGGTTTCATACAGTATGACAAATTGACAACCAATAATGCTCAACCACAAGTACAAACATTATTTGCCAAACTGAATAACCAGCTTATGCTCCTCAGCTTATAAAGTCAGGCTGAGATTGTCATTTGCAAAAGAGTTGCAATTATTTCAAAATCAATGTTGTAATTCATAAAACCAGGTGTATAAACAAAAAAAAAAAAAAAAAAAAAAAAAAAAAAAAAAAAAAAACAGAACACCACATCAATCAGGCATGTCATTTCTATCCATTTTCACTGTCTTCCACAATTACTTTATGCTTAAAATAAAGATTCCTACCATTAGAATAACATCCCCTATTTACAATTATTCATTTTCATAATTATTTCATTAGTTGCTTTACAACTTTTACTGACCATTAATCTATAGTTGTGAATTGACCATGCAAACCGAGGATAAAATAAACTGATAATATTTGAACTCATCCTTTTTTTAACTTGATTGAATGCACCAACTGCTACTTTAAGCTTTGCAAAAAACTAAGTAACAAAACCCACAGCTCCATGCAAAAGTCACTTGGCACCCAGTTTCTTTTTAGGATTGGAAATGAAACAAGTTATAATTTAGTTGCTGCTTTTAACAGTAGCAACTAAATTATAACTTGTTTCATTTCCAATCTACCTGTATAAATTTTCAATATAAAAAAAAGTTTGATAATGCTTCATGTAATAAGAGTATTGATGCAGGGTCAGTTAAGTTTTTAATAATTTACTTTAACTGCAAATAAAGTTCCATTGCATTTCTACAGTTCAAATGCAAGTGACAAAATTCTGCTATAGTTAAACTATTTTAGCAGAAAATATTAATTGAAGCTGTTGGTGAGGGACATTCAAATTTAGTGTGGTAATTGACATGAAAAGAAAATGGCAAAGAATTTCTCACCACTCCTGATGATACTGACTCCACAGTTGCCCTTTTCATATTTTAACCCTTGGTATTCATGACCTGAAGATAAAGATTATTTTGACAAAGTTAAAGAAAATTTCTTGAAAGGTTACATTACTTTTAACATTCATAAAAGTTAAAAATGCTATTCAACAAGATTATATTGTCTACAATAAGAACATTGATTTGGATAGTTTTTATTTATAGATATTGGAATGTGAAAAAAAATCTCAAGAGAAATTGTGTATATTTAATACATTAGATTAAAATCATGATTTCAGTGTCAGAAGAATCCAAATTTTAAATGCCTCTATAAAATATCTATTGACAGAATTAGTTTTTCATAAACTTAAAAAGGTTTGTTAAAAGGTTTTTACTCATTTTATAATTTTAAAAATGTCAATCAACCAATTTTAAGATTGGTATGTTTTTTTCTAAAAAACAGTTTCAAGTTTAATTTCTTTTAGTTTTCAAATAAGGGAGAACTAATGTTTATTAATGGGATGATCTGACTTTTTATAACTTGAATAACAAATTTCCAAAGTTTTCCAGAAAATATTTAATTTCATAATTTTTTTTTTATGTATATTTTCATGCAATAAATATGTACTAGCAGATGCTGAAAAGTTCTTGGCCCAAGCCACTTTCCCAACTCTAACCAAACAGATTTTTTATTCAATTATTTTAGATTTGCAAATAATTATTCATCTAATTTATTTAGTTTTATATAGACGTGTGTGCACGGAGGAGGGTAGTGTTCACACTGCACAACTGGGCAGAAAAGTTGCAAGGATAGCCAGGCCAGAAGAGTCTCCAGATGAACTCAACGTTTTAGTATATAGACAGAGGGCAACCCACACCATATTCCTTGGCCTTTGGCTGTCAGTCAAAAGCTTGGAGAGATGGACACCAAACTCTGAAAGGCCATGGAAAAGATCAGGAGGAAGAAGAGTGAAAGCAACACCATATTGGATTGGTCATAGCCTGGATCAACCATGGCCGTGTGTACCATCAACTTGTGATCATGTGAAAAAAAAAAAAAAAAAAAATCCCACTTTGTTATGATGGGCCTTGCTTTATTTCTGTTGTACAAGTCTGGTGGAGTAAGAAAGTTTTTGTAATGTGGTTGCAAGTTGAATATTTCTGGTTTGTGTTGGTGAATGAATAGCTTTTTTGGAAGTGATAAGTATCAGTAAAGGCAATATATTTAAAAAAAAAAAAAAAAAAAAAAAAAGAAAAAAGAAAGCAATATTAGGGTAAATTAACTCATCTGTTTAAACCTGCTCGATTCAATGCACTCTCCTCATGAGAGGCCAGTTAAAAAGAAGGGGCTCTAAATTTTCCATCAATAAGATGGTTTCTTTTGTTCTATGGAATCATGGGAATTATTTTTTTTTTTAACCCCCTCCCCATGTGATCATGAGATCACTACAGACTCATCGGGATGAGTATGATAAGTGAGTGACTGGAGCAACAAATACCAAACTACCAATGCAGGGTACAATGATCAGAATGTGGAAAGTTTGCACCCTCTATGCTTTTAGAGAAAGAATGGACAGACATGACAATGCTGAAACTCCAGAGAGCCACCACCAACAGATCAACCTACAGGAGGTTATCGATTTCTTCTGCCTCCAGGTCCTACCAACAATTGAAGCAGTTGAGAAACTGACTGATGATGACTTGGCCAGGCCAAGAACTTTTCATCATCATCTAAAACCTTTTTTTTGAATTGATAAATTTTAATCCAAATAACTACAGTGTCTCCATTTAAAATTTTAATTCAAATAATCCAAAGTCTGCATTTAATGCAATATTTTCTTTGAATTATTTGTAGTGGTATAGGATTAAAGTGGTTTTAATTCCTTATTTCTGTCAGAATTTTTTTTTTGCTTTGTCCACTAGAAAGTTTGAATTTAAGCTTTGTAATTCAGAAATACTTATTTCATAATTGTAAAACATTAATAAGATCATTATTTCACTTTTTAGCAAAATAAAATTTGCAAGTATCTGTAAACTTTATTAAAAAATTCAGACAGATACTTGCAAATTTTATTTTAAGACTCAAATTATCAATCTTATTGTTAGAATTAAATGTTGCAGATTCATCTTTAATTCAAGAGAAAAATTACTACCATTTAACAGGCTTATTTCATTGTTGTATTTTAAAATTTAAAAGTATCAAAGATAATGTTAGTACTTTTGTTTAAAGACTGTCAGGAATAATTTGTTTTTAGGTTTCTCAATTAAATTTAAAGTTAAAATGAATTTTTATGGTGTCAGTTATAAGATACTGACAATGTCAAAACAATGTACTAGTTTTAGAGCAAATCAGAATTTTAATCTACTTCAGATAACTATGAAAAATAGAATTCATTTTTCTATGACCATCCAAAAGAAAAATTATGATTTAAGAAACTTAAAATTTTGTTGCAATAGAATTTAAAATTCTAGATAAGACCAATTTTTGATGTGACAAATGCTCAGTTGCATCAATCAAGTTAATTTTATTTTGAATCTACTGCAAGCACTTAGATTTTCAGAATTCTCTTCATAAAAGTGAAATCTGAATCAAAAGGCCATGAAACCATGTACTGAAGTATTGTAATGAACATATGCAAGGAATTCATTTTTAAAGTCTTTATTCAAAGATTCATAGAAAAATTGAGATTTTTAAATTAAAAAGAAAAAAACCCCGTTAAAATGAAAGTCATTTTTTAAACATGATGTTATGACTTTTCAATTTTAACGAGTTATTTTAACAAGTCCATATTCTAATGTGGTGGTAAATTTTTCAAGTGTATCCTTAAACTTTATCAATTAAATTTGAAATTCAAACTTAATTAGAAAAAGCATCGTCCTAAATCTAAGTTAATTTATATTGAACAAATGGCTTTTTAGAGAGTTTCCTACCTATTTAAAACACTGTTATATACTTATATAGAGTAGAATTTTTCCATCTACCTGTTGGTGTGGTCACTTTGCATTTTTGATATGGAAGCAAATTTAGGCCCTCCTCAACAACCAAACGTATCTGAAAAAAAAAAAAAAAAGTTTAGAAAGTGTTAGCAGGATTTAAAACAGTAATCTGAAAGTTGCAAAGTCTGCTTTTAGGTAAATTCAACAAAATTTGAATATTTACACTTAGCATTAATTTTAGCTCTTTTGCTAAAATTATAAACTGGAAGCCAAGTTTAGAATTAAGTAATCTTTAGTATACAAACAGCTTAGCCTTTTTAAGTGACCAGAATTTTTAGGTAGAAAATGACTGCACAAATATATGCATCTAAAATATCCAGATCATTATAGCAAAAAGATTAATTTTATTTTTTTCATTTCACCAAGAAAGGTGATAATTACACTAGGACAAGTAATTTCTTGAGTGTAATTTGGGTTAGACAGCCAGATAAGCAAAGATTGATTTTCCAAGATCTACAGAGTTAGGCAACTATTCCTATATTTTGTATATTAGTCACCTTTGCTGTATCAAGTATGTAAAATGTCCTCAGTACACTTTCATAAGCTAGAATACATAGACCAAGAAACTTTTCTCTTCACCTGAGACACAGTATAAAAGGTTAATAATGGGTTTCAACAGGCATTAAGAAAATTATTTCAATAATTGTTGAAGTAACTTATTTTAACACCAAGACTACCCACCAGTTATAACTGAAACACTTGTAAAGGGAATTGTAAAAAAAAAAAAAAAAAAAAAAAATATTTCAATATTTAGTCTTGAAATTTTAAAGAAAACAGTTTTGCATTTTAAAAATCTCTAAATGCACATTAAAAAAAATTAAAATAAAACTGACTGTCAGTTACCATATAATTTACAGAGGCATAGAGGTTTAGGAATTGTAAATTTAGATTTATTTAAACCTAACTTGAAATTTCTTGTAAGACATCAATGTAAGTAAAATTTGTAATATTTTAGTTATTTAGCTAAATGTTATTTTTGACAATACAAACATCTGGAAAAATATTTTAGTTCATAATTTACACTAACCAACCAAAATCAGAAATGTCATTAAACATCCAGATCTAGTTCTAAAGTTAAATTTGTATTTTCAGATATGCAGAACAGCATTGTCCAATGTTAATTCTTGAGCTACATGCATAAAAATCTAATAATGGGAATCAACAAAAGCAATGAATTTGTGATGGCTGAGTGTTTTGTGCATATGAAGGCGGCAGCAGCAATGATTTGGGTCATATCTAATAATGCCAAGAAATCCACTGAATGCATCAATATGAAGAGTCATGCAAACACTTTACAGTTATTTTTAGTTGGAAATAAAATCTAGTAGAACTAGACTTTTGCAAAAAAAAAAAAAAAATCTTAGAGTAAGAATATTTTGTAACACTATAAAAATGCTTCAACAACTACTAGCATTAATGTTTTACTCTTGGATAGAGTTCATTTCTAGGAAAGGAAAGGTTTAGAAGAAACTTATAAATTCAATCTGTCTACATCGACTTATAAAATAGCCAAGAATCTTTTCACATCACAAATAAAATTCAATTTTCATAAATTCTACAATTTAAAAAAAAAATTCTTATACTGGAAATTTTATGCAGCTTGATCACTTAAAGGGTTTCTAATTTTCATATTGTATAATCAATTGTAATTTTTACAGCTTTGTTAATGAGAAAGTATGTACAGAAACTTATCAGGGTTCCCAAAGATTTATGTAAAAAATTCCAGGACTGAAACTGACATATGAAAAGTAAATGTCAATTTCAAAAACACAAAATTTCTGATTTATCTTAATAGTTTGACAGGAGAGATGTTCAAAGAAAATGTACATGTGGTTCCAATAATTCTTGTCACATGGATCAATTGAAAGCAGTGTAGAAATCAAAGTTTTGAAGGCTTTTGACAACTGAATACAGACCTGGTTATGTTACACATTTTGTGTAACATTATACAGTTTGAAAATTTTGAAGTACAGACTAATTCTTACTGCTACAGCTATCTATACCTTTTCAACTTCAAAATGGACTCATTTTCAGATATATATATATATATATATATATATATATATATATATAAAAAAGAAGATACGAAGTCAGTGCAAGTCTCAGGGAAATATTAATTGCCTCGGAGATCATTGCTTCTAACTTGCTGAGGCAGAATTCTTTAGTAGTTAAAGATCCCTGGCCATCACCTTAAAATCCCAACAATTTAGTCTGCCATACTTTTTACATCAGCTTTAATGACTGACCAAACCTTTTCAATGGGATTTAACATTGGACTATAGGGGGCAAGTCTGAAAATTTGGTGTTGCCTAAATTCATCCTCCTCCACAACTTCTTCAATTGAAGTATGGCAAGGAGCGTTATCAATAACTAAGACAACTCCCCTTTCATAAATTTCATTTGCCTTTCTAAGGTACTCCCTGGTCCATTCTTTCGCATCCTCTTTTATGAAAGAACCTTTTAATTTTATGATGAATTAATCCATTATTACCAATACATCCAATAACATGGATGTTATTTCCCCTGGATCCAGTCGCGACTTTAGTGCACCTTGTGCCTTTTTTAGAGCGACCTTTTCTTGAAATATGGAGATTAAAATTAGTTTCATCCATATAAAGAATTGGCACACTTTGGGACTGAAATTCTAATAAAGCTACTGCGTAATCCTTACATTTCGCCTTATTGACAGCTTCTGGTTCATAATGAACTGCTTTTAAAGTAAAGGCCATGGAGTCCAAGTGCTTATGCATTCTTTCATCACATGAACCTCATACTTTGCATACTGTCTTGAAGAGTGACCCTAGAAGAGTTTAATTTAGCCATAAAATTCTTATGCTCTTGCATAATTTTATATTTTCTTGATCCTCCCCTAGAGTCACTCTTATCAGCACCCTGGTCTAACCAACAGTGTGCAGAGGCACACCAATTGTTCTTGCCAGGTCTTTCCAATTTCCTGCTGTGGCATGTGCAGCTAAAATCTGGGCCTTTTTTTTGCCAGCCACAGTTTTCTTGAGGTAAGTCCTCTTTGGAGCTGTTGCTAATTCTTCAGCTTCTTTTGTAGAGGTTTCTCCAGCATCATCAATCATTTTTGCCCATACGGGACTTTCTCCTACATTTACTGTGGGCTCACCCAATGTTTTCTTGGCCTCTAAGTTGTTTGTATTTTAGTTTTTTCTTCATCTATATAATGAAGACAAACAGTCAATTTCGTTACTCATGGGGAAAATTGAAAAAATAATTTTCAATTTACAAAAAAATCTCAATTTGAAGTTGTTTATTCTTATTTTGAAGAAGATTGTTTTTAGGTTTTTGATATTTTCTCAATTTGAAGTAGATTGATTTTTTTTTTTTACTTGGGGGGGGGAGTCCATTTTGAAGTTGAAAAGGTATAGATTACTGAGGATTTGTGAATGTCAAATTCTTGAATGCCGTACATTTCCTGTGAATTTATAGTTTTAAATAGAAATTTTCACAAAATGACTACACAATTTAGCAATCCCTACTAATGTTTTTTTGTTGCATATTGTACAGAACACAATAACATTTTTTCAGTTCATGTAGTTTAGCATTCAACTCCACTTTCAATTTGGTATCTCTATAGACTTGTCCTTTGCAGATCTTTGGTATTTGCAATAAGTGTCAAGTTCTGAGTGTGTTCAGCTTTCTCTGCATAGCTGTCAGTTGACTTTAGCAAATCTTGTGTGCAACTTTCAATCTTTTTTTTTTGTCTTCAAATTCAGTCATGCAAGTGACCTTACAAGAGGGTGTCTAAAAGGAGACTTTACTAGGAGTTTTTCAATGATGGTGATGAACATTGTTGCAATTCTGCATAAAAACAGATCTTTTGTGGATACATTTCCTTTTCTGGATAAATTTTGCATAGCCTATCTGCCAGAAATCAACACTCAATCATTACTGTATCTGTTTCTTTGAGTTGGACAAAATTCATACAAATTCAGTTTGGAAAAATATAATTATCTTTTTAATGTGGTCTTTTACAAATCTTCATAAGTTTCATGATCATGCTAAAATGATCATCTGCTAGCAAAAGAAACAGTTTATTGCTCTGATATTTTACACAAAAATCTGCAGTTTTACTGGAAATTAAACATGCCTGACAGCACTGCAGAGAAGGACTTTGTCTGGGGGTGACTTTTTTAAAAATTTAATTCACAAATTTGATATCTGGCCAAATATCTAAGAGCTGTTCACATACATTTTCTAGCCATTTTGTATAAATACAAAAGTAAAGGGACAGGATTGCCAGACTGAACTTTTTTTTTTTTTTTTTTTAAGGCATTTCACCATAAGCGAGGTAGAAGTGCCACTAGCACACAAGGGATTACAGAGAGTAAAGGTAAGAGAAAAAGAGGAGGAGCATGCCAAACACCTTTGAGACATCTAGAGCCACAGTTCAAGCTTTGCTGTTATCAAGAGCTTGGTATACAAATTCAGTTATGGCCATAAGCATGTCAACAGTAGACTGGGCAAAGAAGAAACCATATTGCTTGTCAGAGGGTAGATCATGGGAGGTAAGGTGCTCAACAACTTTGGCATTGATTAAAGCCTCGAAGACTTTGCCGAAGAGTGATAGGAGACTGATAGTATGGTAGTTAGACAGGTTAAAAAGATTTCCAGAGTTCTTAAAAAGATGAACAGATGTGGACTTCCAACAGACTGGAAAGCAAGAATGAGCAAGGCAATAGTTTGGAGAGAACTGGAGCCAACTCAGACATTTCTTTAGGACTATGGACACCAGTTGCTTTATGAGAGTCCAAGCAATGAAAGCCAAATAAGTTTTAATATAGATCATTTTTTCACCTAGAAAATACAGGTCATTATTAGCCTGCAAACTTTAAAATTTCCATTCTATCATCCTTGCCAGCTACATTTTCTCAACTCAAATTTTATTCTTAAACTTGTTTTTGGCAACAAAGAGTTAGACAACTGTAGTTTACACAGAGATTCACAGTAACATAGGTATAATGTATATATTTTTCAGCATAAACACCCACCACTGACTAGAAATCAAAAGGACTTTACTTTGGAAACTGACATGTGAATAAAACTTCAATTGTTTAAAAAATATCAAATTAAAGTGTATTTTATTACTGTGTATAATAAATTAATTCACACTCATTGAATCTGAAATTAACTTTGACAATGATGTTCACATGTCTGGTAGCATTTATCTTTTCCTTCTTTTCTTGTTGAGTGAAGGTAACAGCTAGAAGACACTTTCATATTCTCTTTCTTTCGTCATCTAGATGAGAAAACAATGAACTAACTAAAAAAACTAAAATTTTTTCAAGGTTTCCAGGATCTGTATGAATCCTCTATTATACAAGAACTGGACATTCACAGGTTGTCAATATATTACTTATAATTAGTCCCGTTTGTTCAGTTAACCATCATCCTGAAATTGTTTAGGCAGTTTTACTATAAGAAAAAACATTTTCAGTTTTCATTTCCCTGTAAAAATTTCCTGCTAATTTTAGGATATAATCTTTCAGAAAAGTTGTGTTGATAAAAACCTTTTCCTTCAAAGAAAATTTGAAAGGAGAAAAGAAATCTTACCAATCTATCAGCATAAAAAATGAAGTCACTTCTTGATGTAGTTCTGGAAGATACACAAAACATTTTAGAATTATTTGCTACAAGAAACAAGTATAATGCCACTCATTCAAATTAAAGTTAATTAATATTTTAGAAAACTGTATTTTAGGAAGTTGTATTGCCATCAACTGCTTAGTAGCATTTATGCTTTACAAAAACACTAAGATTGAGTAAAGTTAGGATATATTTATTAGAAATAATTACAACATACAACTAGTTATTTTTTAAATTTTAAATGTAAATATTGAAATGAGTCACAAAGCAGCCTCAGAAGTTGTATTTCCATTGCAATAACTTTACAACATTAAGGTTAAAAAAAAAAAAAAAAAAAAAAAAAAGCAAGAAAAGTGAATTGAAAAGAAATTCGAAGCTAGTGTTGCAAATGTGAACAGGAAATGGTGAATATTAAGAACATATGAAGCTTAATGAGATAAATGCAAGCAAACTGCCATATTTATTAAATAAATACCAATGTATGCAGAGAAATCAGAAATACTATAAAGAAATAAGTTTTCATGTAATTTTTATTGATGAATAGTTACATTGGCTGAACTGGATAGCTGGAATAGAGCTTGGGTCTTTTAGGATTAAAAAAAAAAAAAAAAAAAAAAAAAAAATCAATAGGATATAGAACCAGGTGGGGGTAATATTTTGGACTAGTATTGTAAGCAGTAAAATTATAGATCTTTCAAAATTGATGTATTAAGCAAAGAATTATTCTAAATTCAAATTTTTTTTTTTTTTTATTCTTTTTGAGTAGTTATAGTTATAACCATTTTTTAAAGTAGACATTAAAGCCAATATTTGCTCATAAGAATATCTTGAAAATTTTACTAATTATAAATTTTATTGGTAAAGACAGTAACTTACTATGATTTGTAATGTGCATTATTTCTAAGGATGAAAAACCAGATTGCTAGAAGTTCATATCAGTCTTTATGAAATTTGATTTTATTTCCATGTTGACCAATGTGTGTTTTTCTTTTAACCTTATGAATTATTTCTTTTCGTCTATCATAAATAGTTCTAAATCTTGACATCAGAATGTGTGTTATAGAAATAACCTTCAATAGGAAGTTATAGTCGTCGATGAGGATGTTTGAACACAAGTGTGGGATAAAAATCATATTATAACCAAAGTCATATTTGGCGACAACAAAAAAAATTCTTGCAGATATGGAGAAAATTCTATTTAAAAAAAAATTCTATTGTTAAAATTCAACAGAAGCAGCAGCAACAAAATACCCAACAGTTGCTACAGTTGCAAAAACAACAAGAGTTGTTGGAAGTGGTTTTGAGTTTTGCTGCAGATTTTTGTAGGCATTTTAGTTGGAATGCAGTGGCTGGGAAGATGATAAAAACAAAAAAAAAAAAAAAAAAAAAAAAAAGAAACAGGTTAAGAAAAATAGTGCTAATAGAGTATGAAAAGTACTGCAATTATATTTTACCAAGAAAACCAGGTGAAATAGCATTTGAAGACATAGTACACATTCTGATGAAAATTTTTAGAGATAAGTGCTGTTTCATGCATGTTGAAGGTGCATGAATTTAACCAAAAAAGAGGATGAAGATTTAGTCACATGTACTCAATAGAGAATGAACAATTTAAACTAAATGACTCCAGATATGTTCAAGGGATTAATTTTCATGCAACGTCTAAGAGAAAAAGACGCTGAATTATGAACAGAAATTTTAGCAAAGATTGAACATAATGTAACACCATAGGAAATAGGGGATGATTGCCAAACAATGCTAAGTGATAAGAGCCCAGTCTAGTTTCAAATGTCAGTTTCTCTAGGCAAATAAAGTTCAAGTATATTTATTGCACACTAGTACAAATGGGGCACAAGACGAATAATGGGGGAAGGGGAAGGCTGGTCATTTGTCTTGTACTAAAACTTAGCTAGCCACAATCACTGACCCAGACATGCTACAACAAGCCTTGCATCAAAACATCACAAAAACTTACCATTCATACTACAACCACCATAATATCTCGGTCCTAACTAGTTCCCATATGTACAACTTAGTCTGTGGTTTAATACAAAAACAACTTTTAAAAATTTATAAGTGCCAATCAATATTTACAATGGTAAAAATTTACAAAAAAAAAAAAAAAAAAAAAAAAAAAAAAAAAAAAAAAAACAAAACAGTATTAGTAATACCCCACCCACACACGTGATCACTAGATGTGGCAGAGACATCAGTAACTTCAGTCTCAAGAAGTGCCATGAAAGGGGGGAGTGAATGACAAATGATTTTATGGCCTCCTCGATCATGCCACATCCCAGTCTGAATGACAGTACACACTGCGCCATTGGAAAATTATTGGGTACCTCTACATCTTTGTCGGCATACTGCCTTAGGGACAAGATGTACCCAAGATCTTTTATTCTATTGCTATAACTTGACTCTCAGCCTGGGCCGGGGAAATGCGTCACATATCCTCCCCTAGGTTGTATGGCAGTTTGTTTTGCCTTTTCCTTCTTTCCATCACCTCTACTGATGGACTTCTGGCGTTTTGAAGGTGGAGGCATTTCAGGATGATTGGGGGGGGGAGTAGGACAAGGGGTGTGTGATGTAATTTTCCTGAAGGAACAGAGATAATTTTACATGCGGACAAATGTGCAGACAATGGTTTAGAAAATCTACAGGACAGAGTAGAGGTTGAGGAGGGAGTTGCCTGCCTTTTTAGGAGAGGATTTCCTGTTGGTGTCGAATTTTGCTTTAAGCTTTGATTTTTCTTGAATCAAGGGTAATATTTTTTTTTCATTTCCTCCAAAAGTGTATTTTCTTTAGAGGCCGGGGTATCACCCTTAACAGTGGTAGAGATAGTGGGTCTGTTTGTGCCTTTTGTCCCAAGGTCTTCAGAAGACTGAGGACCCACTGCCTCCTGCTTCCCCCTGGCCCTAACAGCAATTGCCCCTCTCCCTTCTCCACAACTGCATTAGCAGTGGGCAAAGGCTCTTGAGGGAATGGGGGACTTACAGCTTGACCCAACCAGTGATTTTACTACACCAGTCCTGGAAGCTGGCATGCCCATCACAGGGGAGGTGGAATTTAATGTGGTCAGAGGTGGATTTTGGTCCACTGGGGAAGGTTGTTTTTAGCTGGTCACAATGACCGGCAACTTCAGGCCCCCTACTTCAAGACAGTTGGGGGATGGAGTAGATGGCTTTATAATCTAACATTTCAGAACTACCCCCGTTCAAGCCATCACAAGGAGGCACCCAGTATATTACCATATTGCAAAACAAACACAGCCAGATGCTCCAATAACATGAGGGACCTTGAATATTGCCACCCTCGTCCTACACCTGCCTTCATATTCGGTCCAAAGGACAACATGACACTTTATGGAGTCTTTAGGCATGGACATCAATATGTTCCACATGAAGTAGTCTGTGCTCTTAATTCTTTGGGGCTTAACCCCCAATGACTCCAGTGATTTTATCACCATGTCTTTCGTGGAGCGACAAATTTTGTGCAAGAGCCTGTCCACCATAAAAAGGGGTTTTGTACAGAGATTGTCTTTAAAAAGCAGTAAACATTGCCTCATGTATAATAAGCAACAGTGCATAGAAAATTTGTAAATGGCACTTAACAAATGAAGTTAAAAGAAATTCTTTCTGGGTTTCTTTATTTTATTTTGGTAAATTATTTTCATGAAACATATTTGATTTCGTTTTAATCAGAAGAAAGTCATAATAAAAAGGAGTATAAAAATCTTTAAAAGATTACATTTAAACTACACTATGCACTGTCTGGTCCTGAAACATCTGTCACATACCATCCAGTATATCCAAGGAGAAATGTGTTATTTTTCTAATTACTTGGATTTTTTTTTTTTACTTGCACACTGGATTTGAAGTACAGTAGTTTCTTTTTTCAGTTAAAAATGAATTGGTCTATTTATACTGAGCTAACAGTTGAAACATGTCATGGTTTATTCAATGATAAACAGGTTGGATTGATTTCAGTTGATCAGTTGCTTATTGCCTATAGAACACGACTTGATGAGAATAAAATATAGACTGTTACCATCACAAGCAGACCTTGTTGACTAACTATGAATGGCTTGAAAAGAGATGTAATCCATTTAAAAATCATGAAAAGCAAATCAAAGGTGGTTTGAAACCAATTTCATTGGAGATGGCAGACAAGGCAAAGGCTAAGTTGGTATTAATCATGGGCAAGAAACTCTGCCCTAATTGTTGAATACAAATCCACAAACTACTTCCCAATGAAGAACCAAGACGTGTATCAGATGAGGAAATAAAAGAGCTTGATACAAGTACTTCTGCAGAAACAGAGAAGAGAAATATCAATGTTTCTCTGCTATTGGAATTTCTCCACTGAAAACAAAAGGGCTTCATTACTCAGGAAAAGCTACTTTAGGTAAGAGAAAAGTTTTTTCTGCAATGCAATGTGTAAAGATAAAAGTAGCCAAGTCATTAAAGGTTGACGAGCTGTTGAGGCTTTAAAAATCAAAAAGGAGATTTTAGATAAAGCTAAGTGCTTTGATAAAATGATAGAGCTTCTTGTAGCAAAAGTGAAGACAGTGGAATCAACAAATCAAAATACAGATCTTGACACTTGCCCCTACAGACTGATCACACAGAAGAGTCATAGATGTGTTTGGTGTTTCAGAAGACATTGTACACAAGGCTTGCAAGTTGCGTTTGGAAAGAGGCATTTTAGCTGTGCCAGAATCAAAAAGGGGTAAGTCTGTGCCTGCTGATATTGCACAGTTGTAGCATTTTACCAAGATGAATATACTTGACTGATGCCAGGCAGGAAAGACTATGTTAGTATTAAACATAATATTCATCAGCAGAAAAGATTCATCTTGTGCAACCTAAATGAGCTCTTCAGAGCATTCAAGGAACAGAACCCAACAGTACCTTTGGAATTTAAAATTTTGTAGTCTAAAGGCCGAAATGGTGTGTCCTTGTTGGTAGTGCAGGTATGCATGTTGTATGTGTATGCACTATCCACTAAAAT